TCATGGTTCGACTCCCGCTTGGGGTGTTGATAAGACCTATGCGAGGTCGAAGCTGCAGTTCACTCTGGATAAGAACAGCTTTTGGGAAAGCAAGGCTGAGTGAAAGCCATTGGAAACGTCAGCTCTATTCATAGCATTGTAGGAAAATTCAACTACCGGCCCTTCGCCACCTTAAACTAAATAGAATGAACACAACTCATATATCTGATTTACTAATAGTCTCGGAAACCTACACACTTATCCTGCTTGTCTTCGTATTTGAGTGAATTGTCGTAGGCAACAGCATTCTGCTCCGACGACTTGCGTCATACGAGCAACAAAAGCAAAGATTCATGGGATTGTAGGAAGGTGCTATGATGACTTATTCGCGCAAATCTACGATCACAACTCCGGGGCAATCCACCTTTAGCTTCCGATGAGACCAACAGACTAATAGGTTCCACTCGCTTCTTCAAACACAATAAAGGGTATCATAACATCAATTTACAAAAGCCTTCCACCTATCTTTTCAAACAAAATGAAAGATATGTAGGCATCGAATTGAGGCTCAATTGGTTTGTTTAATTAATACATGCCTTCCGTCCTGCATTGGTCCCCAACACGTTAAACCTATTCGGCCGTCATGTCTTGCAATGAATTGCACTTTCTCCACGACATGTTTATTCTCTACTTCGGAATCTCATGCTCCGTCGGTTCTTTTGGGGAAAGTGAATTGTTATATTCCTGCTCATTGATTGGCCAGTTTAAAGACGTCCTCGGTGGGTCCTGTGAGATTGGCTCGAGCGCCAGTTCTGTCATGTCGTGCAGATCAGCCTTTGGTGGCATGGCTCATTTCGCGCCTCTGCACGCAGGCGAATCCCGACAAAGACGATGCCCTCTCTCCTCCGTCCCGTCCGAACCCCCAACAGGGTCACCTTTACATGCCCGTCCCACCAAGTCGTCCTCAGATTGGCCAGATTCATGAGGGCCAAGTGTGCCCGAATTGTCTACCGAACCGCACATACCCTGTTTCGCCGTCTGGACGGCCACACAAGCGCTCACCGCGCCGATAAGAACAACAGCAACCGGACTCATGAAGCGGAGTCGGACGGAAACGTTAGCATCATCCCTTCGAACTCGACCGAGCTTGGACAAACCAGTTCGGAGGAGACGACGAGTGAAGATGAGTCTGACTGTACCGAATCGGAGGGAGGCGAAGGGGTGAGCAATGAGGCGGCTGAGACGGGGACGGAGGTGGAGGTAGAGGGGGAGGTGGAGGTGGAGGTGGAGACAGAGGCGGAAGGGAGGTACCGATGTTGCCTCTTCTGCGCCTGCTTCAACGCCTGCATGCCTCGTCGTGTACCGGAGCGTCTGTTGTCTGTGTCCGATGCTGTCTACTCGACCTGCCAACACAGTCAGGCCGGCTGTCCGGAGGTGTGTCCGACGTGTGTCCCGAGGGTTGGTGACGAGGAGTGGCGCAGGCCGAGGGAGATGGCGCCTCAGTTCGCCTGTTGCCGATGCTGTGGCCAGCCGGACGGTATCGTCTGTTTGCGCTACCTCGACATGGTCTGCTGTCTTTGTTGTCCCCTCTGGGACGTCATCAAGGGCTGCGACTACGGCTACCGACGGTTTAGGGTGCAAATGGTACTGGACAGGCATAACGACGCTCAGAAACGGGAGTACGGCGGTTGTGTATAGTCTGGCGGCATCGAAGAATGCTCTCCTACTCAGTCTTTCAGGCTGAGCTACACTTCTTCCAGCAACCGGTTGACAGGGTGCCACCAAACAATGAGACTATAATGCACACTGAACGTCTTCACCAAAGGCACTCCTCGAATGCAAAGCTTCGACTGGCCATGTCACAACTGCAAGACACGCTTGTGGAGTTTGGTTCACTTGGTACATTTCATCTCCACCTGAATAAACAGTACACAGCAAAGATGTGAAAAGCAAGATGTTGTGGCCTCTGGTTTCGTCGCAGTCTCATTTCCTAGTGTAGACGTAGTTTTGGCCATTTGCTATTGTTGTCAGAGCAATCCAGATTAACTCATCTTGTCAGAATTCCCTTATCTTGGTAGTTGCCATAATTCCCAGCGTCGGACCGCGGACTTGGTGCCAGTCGAAGGTGCGTTTCTCTAGACCGCTCTGATAGCACGAACGAGCTGCGAAAATGAGGTAAAACCACGTCTAGAGAATAGTGAAGAGGACTTATTGCGCTATGTACATACTACTCCGGTCCCTCGACTTTTTGCAATGTGAGACTATCATTAATTCTTGAATAAGCATTTCAAGCCGCCTAAGCTGATTTACGGACTGATAGTTGCGGCTTTTTCCACAATAATATGCTTTGGACCTCGCGATCCTATTGAATTTCAGCCCTAACTGGATTCTATTTGGAACCTACTTACATTGAAAATTGGTAGTCGCCGATTTAAGTAAATATTTGCTAAATCGACCCTTCAATTGTGTGATTTTGGTGAAGTCTGGCCTGACTTGTGCAGTTGAGTAGAAAAAATTCAACTATCAGTCCTTATTGTTGAGCTTACTTCCTTTCGAGTGAAAGTGTTTGGTGAAGAGATTCGAAGCTCGACCCCACCAGAAGACGACGGCGGATTCCTCTTGACCAGCTGTCGATTGGATTTACTGGAACATTCTTGTTGACGCTGCTTCCAAGATGATCTCATTCGATTCCGGTGCAAACGCGCTAAGCTTTCGTCCGTCGTACGACGGACCTCATCAGAGCATGGTATCATCCTTATAACCATATTCAAGCTTAACTTATTAACTTGAATATAGTTTTAAGAATAATGCCCTGCTCTCATGATGTCCATCATACGAGGGACGACAACTTAGCACTTTTTCACCGGAATTCAAGGAGCTTATCTCGAAAACAACTTCAACAAGAATGTTCCGGTATAGTCAATCGACGGCTGATCATGAGGAATCTGCTGCCGTCTTCTGGTGGGATCTACCTTCGAATCTCTTTAACAAATACTTTCACTCGAAATGGAAATAAGCTTACCTATTATGAAACAAGAGATTCATCGAAACCCAATTTTTCTTCGAATATCAATCCTTAACCCACTAAGCTACTTAAGTTTTTATTCCAGAATTACCGATGGTTTCAACTTCGTCGATTGCAATTACAAACACATGTTTGCTTAATCAACAATCCCACTTAAAATGTTCCATTTTATAGAGGTCTGGCTTGCCTTGAATGTCCCACTCGCCCTGTGGAGTTCACTGGCGCCAGTGGCCCCAAATTGTAGGATAGTTAACGTCGCTATGA